TTAAATGGAAATATTATTTACATTTAAATAACATGTATTGTTTATTAAATCTGTACTAATAGGTTGCCAGTATCTGGAATGCACCTAATTGTAAAGGACAAAAAGAATTTATGTTTTGAAATCGAGGCAGATCCTATATCGAGAGTATGGTAAACTCGCAGAAGTATAAATTACCAAGGGTCGACTTACTGACCAATTCATCCCAAAAGTCAGTAATCGAAAAATCTTCTCCAACTTCTATATCAATCAATTTCTAACTAACCATGGAGCCCAGGGTAGTTATGTCAGTCAAAATTGTTCGGGAAAGACCGAAACTGTAAAGTTTGCAAGAGTAATGAAGATATCGAACACATACTTTCTGTCTACACAGTTTATGATGATTTAAGAATTAAATTTTTTCCGAAAAATTTACCATTAAAAGAAATTGGAGCCAAAAGAAAATAAAGGAATTGAAGAGATTATTAAAAGACTTTTTGAAAAGAGAATTGAGGATTTGGCCTAAACTGATCCTTCAATAGTATTCCCTGGATGCCTCGTATGGGGGGCGGGACAGGGTGAAAGTCGAGCTATTGTAAACCTATTGTATAGAACATTGAAAATTTAATTACATATTGTAACTTTATCATTTTATTGATATACCTATACAGAACAAAATAAATTTTTATCAGTTTCTTTTGATTTCGAAATCCATAAATTTAATCTACGAATTTTCCAAAATCATTTATTCACTAATGCAATAAAATTCTTGTAAAAATATTGCGAATTACTATAACCGAGAGAGGAAGAGAAAAAGAATTAATTAAACATAGGGATGCAATTAAACAAGAGAAAATTTTTTGGTTCATAAAGGTTTTTAAAAGTACGAAAACAAAGTTGAACTTATGTTACAGATTTTTTTTTATTTCAAATTTCTTTATTTTTTTTTGTAAAACATTATTTTTTTCTTCGAAATTTACATAAATAAAAAAAATGATAAACAGAATCTGTAATAAAGATATGACCCGTGTAATATTTATAGTTATTAGTAGATATATGTGCTCCGTGGCAAATATTTTCTGCAAGATATATGCTAGATTTAATCTGCAGTTTGAAATAATTTATTTTGCTTTGTTTTAAGGAACCAAAGAAATACGAGAATAATTTTAAAAATATTAGCCACAAGTGATAAAAGTGATGCGCCTTTATAAAAGGAAAAAAATATAAAGTATTAATTTTATTAATTTTTGTAAATATAATTTATTATTTGATTTATTAATTTTATTTATTAAATATAATTAATTAATTTTTGTAATACATTTATTTTTTATAAAAATATGAAAGGGATTAAATAAATTTTAGCATTAAGTGAAGTTAAACTATTATCCATTAAATATTTCAAGTAGTTTCTTCTAAAAGATATATGCTCCACACACACACATATGTATATATACATATATATAATATTTTTAAACCCATTGAAGTCTCTTAACCAGAATTTTACAGAAATACTTTTTTTTTCTCAAGTTTTCAATTTAAGAAAATTTCACCAAAATGAGATGCGATGTAATCTATAAAAAGACCAAACCATTTATTTTGCAGTGTGTTTCAGTTCTTTTATGAATTAATATGAAAATAAAGCGAAGAGATGGGCCCAAAGATACATCTTAAAGGGCAGCTCTTAAGAGTCTATTTCACAGCGCAAATATGCAACTAAGTGATTATTTCTCTTCTTTATTTTCAACTCTCTTGAGATAGCATATAAAATTTTCTTTGTTATTCTGTTTATTAAAATGTGATTAGTACCTGAAAAAAATTATTTTTAATAAAGAATGTGTATTAATTTATTTCTCCTTTGCTCTCGCGATGGGAGAATTGGATTTCCAATTTACGAAAATAAAGTGTGGAAAAGACATTTAAGAGAAGCATTGTTGTAAAATAAATATCAGGGAGAAAAAGGTCTATGGTTTATAAAAATAACAAGATTAAATTTATGCGTAATTATTTTTATGGATTTTTGTCAATTTATATGGAATTCAAATGGAATTATTTTTGAATTACATTTAATTAATTAAAAAGTCTGTGCTAAAATCCTTGACCCATTATACTATGGGCCTCTTGCTTCACTTGGCAGGTGGGGGGGGGGTTGAGAGTATAACGTAGATTTTCAGGTATTGATGTTTTGTCAAAACTTATTATTAGAGTCAAATCAATTAATTTTATTTATGTTTCTTTTATTGCCTAAAGAATGGCTGCGATAGTTTAGTTGGTAGGGCGTTTGACTCTCGTTCGTGAGAGTGAGTTCGAATCCAGTCTGCCGAAGACTCCCTGTGCAGTAAATGATGACTGGTGCACGTTAAATCTGTCGAGTCACAAAGTCCTCCATGTTCCCATATAACAAATTATATACCCAGTACCCCCATAAACCTCTAGAGGTACTGGATTGGAGATTGATCATTCTCTGGTTGAGGTCAAAATTACAATCTGTGGATGAATGAATGAATGGATGGATGTACACTTTAATTTATTTTAAGAAACGTAATTGAATTTTTTTAAAGAGCTGTATATTAACAGATAAAAAGGCAGCAGTTGCTTTTACAATGGATAAAGTGATTAAGAAGTTTTCTGAATTTTTATTGCAACTTTATTATTTAGTTCGATTCCTTATGATAAATTAATTATAATTTAAATATAACTCTTCCATAAGGATATTTTAAATTCATAATGATAAATAAGATTCTGTTTATTATACTTGTTCAAAAATGCCCGCATTTATCAGATAAATAATATGTAGAACTATTGATTGATTAAAGCCATAGTTGATATATTTATGCTAAAACCTTACTTACATATTCCATGCTGCAGCGACAGTTTTTTTGTTTTTATTCCTTTAATTTTTTTTTTTTTTTCTATTTACGAATTTTTTTTTTCCAAAAATATCTGTTTAGTTTAAAAGACACAATTTAATAAAAAAACGACAGTTGATTTTAAAATATACTGAATGATTAGAAGGTATTTAAAAATAATTTCGCAATTATCATTGAAAAATTCATTAATTTATTTCACCAATTAAAACGAACTATTAATACAGCATTCAAAAATTTCCCTTTATTGGATTTAATGATAAAAGTAAATTAAAAACAAAATGAAAGCAAACAAGTTTTAACAATATTGCTCTCAACTTTTAAAACCTTGTATCATCCAATTAGTGTCTTGGAAACTTCTTCAGAAAAAGAGAGAAGAAAAAAAAAAGAATATTCCTTCCATTTCATTCTACGGAAAATGTAAGCTTTTTATGAGTTCTGATCACGAGGATTATTAAAACCTTCTTCATTTTGCTCGTTGTTATCGACTGATTGCTGTAAATTATCGTCGGGGCTTAATATCCGACATTGACCCTGACGCATTTTAGAATATTTTTTCTTCTTGAATACTTCCCTTTTCAATAAAAGTATATTCTAAAGTTTCAGACGCGATTTAAAATAAATTGTTTCACATTGTTCGACTGAAGAAAATGAAAACGATTTTGTAATTATTATTCGGAAAGAAAAAGTCCCCGTCTTTCTTTTGTTCTCAATTAGAAAATTTCTGTTCAGCTTTTTTCGTCTGCTCTAATTTATTTTATTGTATGTTTCAAAAGAAATAAAAGATTTTTTTAAGTTAAATTTATATTATTGGTAGCATTTACATTCCAGGTATTTTCAATTTTATTATTGTAATAAGCAAATAATTTCCTGTTTACGAAATCGAAGCGTTTTTTTAATTTTTTTATTTTTATTTACAGGCTGTTTCACAATAATTGCCTTTAATTTATATGTTTAAAATCGTAGTAATAAATAAAATAATTGTGCCGAACTAGATTTTTAATCTTTTTTATCAACCAATCAATGTCTTAGAAATTTTTTATCAGGAAAAAAAATATTTCTCTTAAACTGTAGGATTTTGATAAGTCAGAAAGAGTTTTAAAATCACATTCGTGAATATAGCCTGATTGAGTTTTGAAAAGCATTGAAACCATTTTTTTGTATAATATTTCAGAAAATGACAACGGGTTTGCTTTTTTTTCTATTGTAGAAAATTCCTTTTTTTAAAAAATTTTTATTGCATATTTTGGATGAAATTAAAAAAAAAGTTTATAAAGCTTATTTATATTATTAATTGTATTTATGTTCCAAAAATTTTTCAATTTTATTTTTATAATTAACGGATATTTTAGCGATTATAATAAATAATTAATTTTCGAAATTATAGTGGTATTTAGTTTACAGTGTATTTCATAGCGATTGCTTTTAATATGGAATTCTTATAAAAATACTGTAAAAGTTGTTTTTCAATCCTTGTGTCAATAAAAAATCAATACTTCAAATACTTCTCCAAAAAATGGCCAATTCTAGAATACTGTAAGCTTTTTATGAAGTGTGGCCGCTGGGAGTTTCCAAATTTTTCTCATTTTATTAATCGACATCGACAGATTAATTTCTGAAAAAAAAATTTTATCTATTTTTTCTGCATTTTTAGTTTTGTTCAGAAAATACTCATTTTGATTTAATTTATTTTAATGTATAATATTATTATGATGAGATGAACTATTTATTTGAATGCATACGCGTTATTAGTTGTCTTTACATAAGAATATTTATTTAAAATGCAATGTAGCTTAACGTTTACAAAAAATGAAATTTTACAATCAAATTTTTTTAACATTGTTTTCAAATAAAGTTTTTTGGGCAATTTTCCGTAAAGCACAATACGGAGGAGGCATTTATTGAATTTGTAGTATAATTAACCTTTGTTATGAATTTAATAATATGGTTTACCATTATACCATATCAGTCCTTCATATATTTTATTCTAATAAACAAGTAATTTCTTGTCAATGAGAATACAGTGGTCCTTAATATGCCCCAGGAAAACTGTCTTTAATTTATGTTTTTATAGAATCCTCGCTAAAAACTTAAATTTAAAAAAAAATTATCATTATGATTATTTTCTTATTTCAGATTAACGACTAAATTAGATAGTAATTGATAGTTATACTGATGGTAATAACTGGTGTATTGACGATTCTAACTTTTGCAGCTCAACCCAGCTCTCCATCAATCGAACATAATGGAAAGGCAACAGTGAACGGATCTGTATTGGGTCCATACTACGAAGGACATACATTGTCGTTGGAATGCGAAACATTTGGTGGGAAACCTACACCAGAAGTCTCTTGGTATAATGTAAGGCTCATTTCATTTAATTTCTTTTTATCCTCAATAGAAGTAAAAAGTGACTGTAAATTGTTGTGACATGCAAATAATTTTATAAGATGACTCTAAGCTAGTGGAGCTGATCAAAGAGATACATTACAACATGAAAACTAGCAGTCCCCTGTTCACACCAAATCCAACACCCATAATTGTTTCTCATTTATCATTAAATTTTTTTATAAATTCAATATTTTTCACAAAAACAAAGAACAAAACAAATGTATAACATTAACGTAATTTTACATTAGAGCATTTGTCAATGTTACAAATAAAAATTCAACTGCAAATGATTCTTGAACTTATAATTAAATGTTAGTTTCATTTATTTCATTTTTCTCCCTGTGAACTATTTCACACATTTTTGTAATTTTAAGTTTTTAAATCTTTTTTTTTGTCGGATAACTTAATTTTGAAAGCTGAAAACATCAGCAATAGCTGTGCTTACGATTTTTAACTATACAGAGAAAATTAATTTAAAAATTCACAATTCTTGAATTTTCTGATATAAAAATGAAATTTGTGACTAGAAATCAGATTTTGCACCAAAAAGGAAATATTCAAATTTTACCAATATTGGTTGGATATAGTAATAACGAATTCAATCAGTTGATAATAATTTTGCGCACTAATAATTTTTTCCTTAGATTAATTATTAATTTCTTGCAAAGAATAATAAATAAATGCATAAAAAGTTTGAAGTTCATTTTTGCTTCTTCAGATATTGTTTCAGAATTCTAATCAGATACTGTTTAACAATTCAGATATTGCTGCAGAATTCATGCGTTTTCGATTACTATAATTGTCTTTTAAAACTTCTCCAATTTTCTTAAATTTTTTCACTATATTGCCCAAACCTAATATTTTTGTTTTTGCAGAAGATTAACCTAAAACGCGTAATGTATTGTTCAAACTTCCCAAGTCTGCGTCTTTATCATTCCATGTTACCCTCTGACCTGAGAAATATACCTGAGAAATCACCAAGAGAGATATTCGGCAAGAACAACATATTTTTTTTTTGTTGCAAAGATATATTTGGGCATTATTCAGTCCTCCAAGGTAGTACTTTTCTCAAATTTCTTTTGACATAGATGTGGTCATTTTTAACAAGAAGGATTATCACAAAAAATTTGACTTTCAAAATCCATTTCGTGAAAAGAAACAGTTCATTACAGAAATTGATTAAATTATTTTAAACAGCAAAGTTTACCTCTCAAAATCGTAATTTACATGACAGAAATCTAAGAGAGTCTTTCGAATTTCCTTATTGGTTATAACAGAAATAAATGAATAAAAAAAAACGTGCAAAACCAAAGAAAATGAAACACACAGAACTACAGTGTCAGGATGCTTGCATTTTAAATTCAAACATCTGCTTTAGCTCTCAAAGCAGATAATTTTGTATAATCAAAATATAATTAAAATTCACTTTTTTAAGATTTATATTTAGCTTTTTTTTCTCTCTACAAAGTATAATTTTATTTCATTAAGTGTATTGATCTTTTATTTTTTTTTTCTATTCAGAAATACTTTCAATATTTGTTTTTATTTAATAAAGAAACTTCATTGTTATTTTTAAAACATCTATACATTTTTTATTAAGCTAGTAAATGTTAATGACTCACAATAATTTAGAACTACAATGTCTTATTTTTTGAATAAAATAAAAGAAAAGGAAGAACTCATAACTTTATTTTTATTCATTTTTATTTTAATTTTAAAAATTCTGAAAATTAAGAAATTCATGACGCATAAAAATGAGAAGGTCGAAAAAAAGTAATGATGTTTTTATAGTTGTTTATTTAAAGATGTATAATTTGCATATTGATTAGGAATTTTGATGATCATGTTACAGTAGTCTTCAGTAGTAGCAAATTTTTTGTCAAATCTGTTGATTTTCTACAGAATATGTGTATTATATTATTAAATATTAAACTCAAACTATTTCTGTCGAGAAAGGAAAGAAATACTTGCTGTGTGCATTGTACAGCATAACATTTTTAATTATACAGTATTTCACTTTCGTTAATTCTTTATACCCTATTTTCGTAATCCTTTATACCTTTATACAAATTTGAAAAACGTGTAGAAGAATATCGCAGTAAAAAATATTTTTTTTGTACTTTTTTTGAGACTACGTGTTTTGAGGTATTTAAGACCAAAGGTCACTTTTACAGTTAGACCTAGCCTAAGAAGGTCAAATAAGATATCTAATGAAAGGTTTATTTCTTAGCTTTGCATATAAATGGTGCTTCAAATTTTTTCAGACACAATTACAAAACAAGAAACAGCCATTTATATGTATACATATTTGTTGTTTAAGAAAATTTTATTTTTTGAATTTTAGATTCAGAATCTAGAAATTGGTAGAATTGCTTACTTTATCATGAGTGTTTATTTCACCAAATTTCATTAAAATCGGAGGGTGATCGGCCCAAAAGTGATTAATCTGACGTGGATAGACTGCAACGGAACATTTTTATTATTAAAATCTAAATAGCTTATATTACACCAATTATGTAAGCTATCTAGGTCTTGTTGCAAACTAGTCGCATTCAGATTTATATTTATTAATTGAAATCATGCGCAAAAAAATAAAAACTCACGATTTTTTAAAAACTTAATATTTAAAAATAAAAATTGCTCCAGAACATTTTGTAAACTTACGAAAAATAGCATATCTAAAATATAAAAATGTATCACGTAAATAAGTAAAACCATTCAATGATTTTTCCATGAAAACAACCGATATATATAATAAAATACCAAATTCTATAGAATCAAATGCTTTAGAACAGTCTATGTAGCTCATATACAGCTCAGACTTATTTTTAAGAACAGAATTGATTTTACTACTGATATACAGCAAATTTGTTACCGTTTATCTTGCGTGCATTAAAACATGTTGCGCATGTGAGATATAATGTTTAAATTGAAGGAAATTTTTTTTTACAAATAATACTTATAAATACTCTTGAGGAAAAAGCTTATATATTATTAAGACTAGTAAAAATTAACTTATATTTTAAAAGCTCATAACCTTTGTTGATTATAATGATATGTTATCCAGCTTCTAAAATAAAGGGAGGAAAAAATATTCTCAATGGTAAGATTTAGTCATTTAAAATTTACTGCATTTCTATACAATAAAATTTATTAAAATAATAGTCAATTATCTTCTAAAAATACAGACAATAATACAAAACATAACGAAATTCATTTAAAATTGGAGAGACGTTAACGCCAATAGACTATTTGAATAAAATTCTAATAGTTAAAGTTTACATTAATTATTACAAACTACTTATATATTGATAATATTTTAGATTACTTAGAATGCTTTAAGAGCTGGTTCAGATATTATTATTGAATTATTATGTTTGCGAATATCATTAGTGTCTAAAGTATTTTAATTTTCATTAGTCTACAACAATGAACAGAGTAATAAAGCTTGTAACTGACATTTGCATTCATTAAATTGATTGTTGAGCACTATTAGCCTTAATTACGTCTTTTCGTTCGCAAATAAAGATGTTATCAGACTTCGATTAAACTTTTACTACTACTTACAACTACCATTATGGTTGTCTGCGTGATTTCTTTTACCAAATCATTTATTTAAATTAAAACTTATGTTATATTGCGATTTCCAGTAAAGTATAGTAAATTGACTAAGTTTTAACAAATTATGATAATTTTAAGTAATAATCTATGATTAAATACTGATTAGTTTGTTCAAAAAATATTTTTATTAAACCATCTATTATATTATGATGTTATAAAAACTGTTTGATATTTCTGCGATTATTTAGCGTATTTCTTAATTTTTTTAATTCTGTTATATCGTAATTTTAAAATATATCGTAAGGTATATTAATTATTTGCGCCTACATTCGAGGTTTAAAAATTAATCATGATTATTTTTACACTGATTTTGCTTTTAAAACTCGAAAGTAGAAATTTAATAATAAATTTTTAATAACAAATTAATTTCTTTGCGCATTACTAAAAATTAAATATAATATAACAACACAAATTGTTTCATTATGACAAAAGATCATTTCATTATTTTAAGAATTAAACGTTTTATAATAATAAATTTTTTTATCATTTTCAGTATCAAAAGTTTAATAATAATAAATTATAGCATTATTCTTAGAAAAAAATTATACTTAACAATTTATTTTTAAAATAATGAATCCACTTTATAGTTTTTTTTTCTTTTATTATAGGGGGGTGAAGAACTCGAATCTGAAAGCAAAGTTCGAATCGAAAAGAATGGTGCATCTAGTGTCACATCGATGATGCAAATGAGTTTAGAGAGAGAAGATTTGGGAGCGAATATCGAATGCCACGTTGACAACGAGGCTATCGACGAACCCCTCGTCTCATGGGTAAAAATAGATCTTCATGGTAAGTCTAACAGGTTTTTGTTTATCTGTGATGTAATGTAAAAAGAGATAAAATCGTTGTTTAACTTTTTATTCGATCCATAGTTCAAAATAAGCGTTTATGAAAGCTCGGAAAGACAAAGCTCGAAATGAGCGTTTAAAACATTCTATTTGACATACTTTGTACATACTATTTGAGTCCGTTTTTCGAAAAGTAAAAATTATTCTTATTTTTAAAGACTAAAATAATGGATTCAATTATAATAAATTGAAAGTAAGTATATATTTTCACTGTAAAAAAATTGATACACAAACATCACAAAACTTTCTTGTTTTTTGACGAAATTGTTTCTTTGTGTATGATCCGAGCGAAATCTTCGTCAAACTGACGAAATAACTATTGTCACTTCTTTGAAGAAATGAATTTCGTCAAAATTAAGGAAATAATTCGTTATTTTACTTTTTATCAAGAAAAAAATATCATAGTGCCTAAAGTATCTAACTGTTTTAATAATCATTTTTACTGGACACCCTATACTGCCGTGCAGTCGAAAAAACATCATAAATGCTTCGCGATTGATTCCTTAAGAAGTGGCGTGACATTTTTCCTCTTTCTATTGCTAATGAATGCTATAATAGAATTTTAAAAAATTTATGAACAAAAATTTTTTTAAATTTTTTTTATTATATGTAGTTTACCATACAAAGATGCCAAATATATAAATATATACATTTTGAATTTTTGGTGCTTACGTTGATTTAATTGCACTGCAGTATAAGTGGATCAATATCGTCCTAACAACACAAGGACGGAAAAAATAGAGATATAAATTACACATGGTGCGTAGCGTTTTTAAAAAGTTCTTAAAGGTGCTTATTTTAGATTTTGGTTTTTAAAAGCCCTTAAAGGTGCTTTTTTCATTGGGTGTCTTTAAAAAGTACTTAATTTTCAATTTTCGAAAATGAGATTTTTTTTCTTTACCATCTCGATTTTCGCCACGTATTATGCAAAAGCGTGCTTTTCACTTAGTTCTATTCAACGTTTTCACAATTCATTCAACCACAATCTATTTCGGCGTACCGTCGTATGAAAGCGCCCATCATTTTACATGTTAGAGGAAATATTTGCTCGTACGTATGTTAGTCTACTGAGCTGAGTTCGGTGAGATTATTGCACTCTCATGTGCATTCTGCAACATATTCTCAATTTCAGGCTTCATTTTCCACCCTCTGATATCGAACCGAAAAATCTCTTAATCATTTTATGATGGCTGATATAATCAAGAAAAGTGTTTTTTGTCAGAAACTAGTCATTTTATTAAGATCATGTAAGGTCTTTGAAAATTATTTTGCACTTTGTCAATGTATACAGTGCTTAAAAATGTTTTTTGAGTGCTTATAAAGTATTTAAAATGTGCTTATTTTTTGTTGAAAGATTTGGCTACGCACCCTGATTACAACCAAGTTCTATGCAGAATTCAATCCCGGAATCTTCCTGGTACGAGGCTACCTTCTAAACCACCATACACGCCGAACGATTCAATTTGTCAACTTGTTTTCGATCGTCCAGTCTTCATTCTAGTTAATGCCATGGAATTATTACGATGAGGTTTCGGTTGAAAGATTTTCATCATCCATTTGAGAGTACGCGCTTCGTCACAAATCACATGATTTAGTGACGAAATTATTCTTAAAATTTATGAAATACAGTTCAAGGATTGCTGAATCGTAAAAAAGTGAGAGTTTTAGTCTGAGAGTGTTTACAAGGTTGTCGAGGTTTCTTTACACTTATACTAGTGGTAATTAATGAGGAAATTTATGTTAGGTAGAAATTTATCGTGGAGGGAGAAACCATGAAAATCTCCCACGGTTAGCTTGATGGCAAGTGGATTCTAGCCCATGAGCCATCTATCCCTGAGGATAGATGAATCGTGGGTTAGAGTCCCCTTGTCGTCAAGAATTTAATTGAATACATTTGTTAATACTTTTAAAAAAATAATATTCGTAAGAGAAGTCTAAAAATATGTCCATTTTCGTAATCTCGATTTTGAGCTGCATGCTAAATAAAACAGTTCTCCGACAATACATCAATACATACATGCCTATATGTGCATGTATTAACATATACGCGTGCATAATGCATTAACATAATAATCACAAAAAGGATAAAAGAAAAGACAGATTAACAAAAAAAATTTTAAAAAATATGTTTCATTTACTGCTCAAAAGCTGCAAGTACATAGAACTCATAAAATAAGTTAAAAATATGGAGAAAACATGAGTTAAATATATAGTGAAAACATAAGTTGAATATAAAGAGAAAAAGAAATAAAGATTTCCCAAAAGAAGAGAAAAAAATTATTGATTTTTTTAAAAAAATAATCACAAATTTAAAATATTTCAAAATACAAATAAAAATGAAAAAAAAAATATAATAAGGAGAAGATATAATATAGTCATCAGCTCACACGTTTATATCGATATATAAAATAGGGCTTTCTTATATAGTATTAATATAGCCAAAGCAAAACGTATCAATACAACAGCACTGAGAAAACAAAGCAAAAAAAAATATTGCTACTTCCTTGTTATGTGCACAACCACTGATTTTTATATTTGTCTTTTAACTCTAGACCATTTATTTTTTCGAACTTTTTTCGTTATTTCCGTCATCTCCTTAAATCAAGACTTCGCAATAAACGAACGCGACTGAATTTTGCTCCAAAAATAGCAACAACTTTAACTATTATACATGTGTCTCTAATCTGTTAGCTTTAAAACGGAGAGAAAATTATTAATAATATTTCCCCCTAGTCTAACTTTCTCTCATTTATTTGACATTTTGGTATGGGATGAAAAGTAAGCACGTATAGTTATGCACGTTTTCTACGTGATGTGATCGCCCAATCTTGGAGCAGTCGACACCAACTTGAAGTTTTCTTCCATCTCTAAGAAAAACAGCTCATGTGAAACGCCGTATTACTACGATTAGTACTGTCCCTAAATCAACAATAACTTGCTTTTTGGTATTTTTAGAGGAAAAAAAATTTAAACCAGATAGTGATAAAAGAATTTAATTCACGTTGCAAATGTGATATTAGGATTTCGTACATTGTTTTTTAACCCATTTATGCTTTAATATTAAATATCTTAATATTGCTGTATTTTAGAGTTAATTACTGTCTAAAAAAATAATAACACGTTTTTCATATTTTTAAGTGTTTTTTAAAAAGTAACTAAATTCCAGGAAACTTCAAATCTCACTTAAAACTTCCAGAAAACAACTTCAAAAGAGCTAACTTTTTCTCAGAGCTATGTTTTCCAAGTAGGCTAAACCAGGGGTCCCCAATTCTATGCCAACGGGCACCATGGCGCCCTTCGGCCGGCCTAGGTGTGCCCGCTGCTTGTGATGAAATATTTCAGTTTTCCATTTCCCTATAAAATGCTATGCAAATACGTACATAAGTACGCTAGCTCAGTGAAGGTAAAGTACTTGATAGATTTCTAGATTTAATTGAAGAAATAAAAAATTATCTTGCAGCCACATATCAAATATTTTTAGATGTAAGAAATCCTCTTTGGCTAACAGATTTGTCTTTTATAACGGACATAACGGAAAAATTAAATAATTAAAATTTAGAGCTGAAGGGAATGGACAAACATATAGCAAGAATGATAAGGGGCTATAAACTCATTCAGAGCTAAGCTAGTTTTGTGGATATCACATTTGAAAATGAAGTCTCTTGTGCATTTTCCTTGCATGATCAATTTGAAAAGCGCTTTCAACAGTTTAATATCATCGAGATATTTGATTACATATTTTGTAAATCCTTTTACCAACCAAATAAACGTGACCGCAATAGCTACACACATTTCAGAATTTCTTCAAGTAAGGCGAGAAAAAATGGAGATAGAAATTTTGGACCTTCAGAATGACATTATCCTCAAAACTATTATATCAGATGAGAAATTCTGGAATATAGTTGTCAGAAATGAATTTCATTCTTAAAAAGAGCAACATATAAAATAAAGTCGCTTTTTGGTTCCACTTACTTGTGTGAATCACTGCTTTCGACAATAAATATCATAAAATCAAAATATAGATTCCGACTTACAGATGAACACCTTGACGATTGCTTGCGAGCAGGAATTTCACCGCATTCTCCCAATTATGAAGCGCTGGCCAGTGAAATGCAATGCAAAAGCAATTTAGTAATCATTTATTTTACACAAGAATATTAATACTAATTATATTCCTAAGTTAAATTAATTTTTAAAATTAAATTTTTTGTGCATTGTATGTAGTGTGTATTATTACCTATGTCTATCAGCTATAAATTTATCTTTAAAAAATAAATGGTGCTCGCCATTCGACCAATATTGTGATATTTGCTCTTAGGTACAAAAAGGTTGGGGACCCCTGGGCTAAACTCATAGCCTGCTCGAAATTTAAATTCTGAATTTAATGTATAAAATTGCATTCCTCGCAGGAAACTTAGTATTTTTTATTATTCTATGGCATTTCTTTTTGTTTCTAAACAATGTGCTAGAGAATTTGTTTGCAGGGGATTTTGAATTTTAAAAAATCTCTATCTAGTTTCATTTGTTATTTGCATAAAGTAAAATAATTAATTTTACTTTCTAAATTCAAAGTTTAGTTAGTTTGGATCAGAAACAAACAATGTGCTAGACAATTTGTTAGTAGGGGATTTTGAATTTTAAAAAATCGCTATCTAGTTTCATTTGTTTTTTGCATACATAAATTGAATTTTAAAAAATCGCTATCTAGTTTCATTTTTTATTTGAATACATAAAGAAAAATAATTATTTTTACTTTCTAAATTCAAAGTTTAGTTAGTTCGGATCAGAAACAAACAATGTGCTAGACAATTTGTTTGTAGGGGTTTTGAATTTTAAAAAATCGCTATTTAGTTTCATTTGTTATTTGAATACATAAAGAAAAATAATTATTTTTACTTTCTAAATTCAAAGTTTAGTTAGTTCGGGCATATTACCTTTTAAAAAGGACTTCATCAAAGAAATGTTATACGGCCGCACCTTTGTTATGAATCATTTTGGAAAAATTCAATTTTACTGTGCACTAGTTGTGAAACAAAATCACTTATAACAAAATTTTGATTTATTTTATTGTTTCCTTTATGCCTGCTTTTTTTTCTTCCGAGCTTTAAAGATAATAACCCTTGCGTAAATTGGATAAAAATTAGTGCTGTGGATTTCAGACATTTCTTATTAACTGAACACTGAGAATGATATTCAAGCTTTTAACAGTTTTCATTTTAACGGACATTCCATTACTGGTATACTTATCGGGAATGGTATACTTGAGTTATACTTATCGGGAGAAAAATTATAGCAGTTCGCTTAATTTCAGAATTTGTTTTAAAGGGGAGTTAATCATTATTTTCTTCTTGCTTGTTAAGTTCTATGCATTTTATGATATCCGCAGTTTTATTCTTAATTCAAAACTTTAAAATAAAAAAAAAATGTAAGTATATAAGTAAATAAATATATAAGTGAATAAACATATAGGTGAATAAATACATAAGTAAAGAATACACAAGTAAATAAATACACAAGTAATTAAATATATAGGCAAATAAATATATAAGTAAATAAATATATAAATAAATAAATATATAAGCAAATACATATATAAGTAAACAAATATGAAAGTAAATAAATACTATGAAATAAATACATAAATAAATTATTAATAAATACAGTGTTTAATTTGATCTAATCAATTTCTGAAGTTTTTAATTTAAATTAACAGCAATGTTCATTAACCAAATATCTACTTCGCAGAAATATGAAAGTATATTCAAAGTTTTTCAAGGCATTGCAAACATAAATATACACAATATTTTAAAAAAGCAAATTTACTGAGATTTTCTAAGTTTAAGACATTACTAAAAAATTAATACAAAACCTGACCTCCTTAGTACAACATTTTTGAACTAACACTTGACTTTTTCACATTCTGAAAAAATTATAACCCTTATCTTCCTAAAAAGTTATGAAAAATAATTTAGTCATTGAAATGAATGTAAAAAAGAACCAGAGATTGGCTAATTTCTAAGAAAACCGATGGAACACTGAGAATTTCAGACCCTCTTACTCCATGGTTCTATCTCAATTTTATTAAATTTCGATGATTTTCCAAATTATTCCGATGTCCGGCCATGTTTTTGCCATGTTTTTACCCTGAAGCAAACTCAATAATTCGGATAAGTTAATTATGTTAACTACTAATTAATTTGATCAGAAGTAATACTTTGTATCTAGCAATTAAATGATAATACTTAACATTTTGGTTATATCATATATGAATTTAATAATTTATNGTCGTAATTTCGATTATCGAAGAAATTTTAATTTTTTTTTCGCAAATCAGTTCTTGAAAATTTGATGACAGTTAGAGGCTAATTTTTTAATCAGTGGTTATAAAAACTAAATGTATTTCTTAAGGAAACATTTAATTATTTGTTTTCGAAAATCACACAAGCTTACTCCATAAATCTAATAATAGTGAATGTATTCTTGAGTATTGTTTAAGCTAAATGTGCAATTCAAGCATTAAAAACATGTCTTTTCATAAGATTAGAGCAATCTTTAAATCTTGTTTTGCAAAGCTAATAAAAGCATTTTATTTAAACTCGGCAGCTCATGCAAGTAATTTCTGCTTACAGGTAATCGTAATCACAATATACTAATTTATTTTCCTAATTCCAACATTCATTTAACGTAATTAAAAATTGTATGTTTTCTAAAACATCATAAATTGATTGCTTCAAATATTTACTACAATTCCGATGATAAAAGCTTACTTGAAAAGCATTAGTTTTAATTAATTTTTTTACAGAAATAGTTTCATTCATGGATTAAACGTAAGCATTATTTGTTACTTTAATTAAGTGTTCTATTTTTTTAATGATTTCATACACAACAATTTAAATGTATATGAGCGCAGGTATGCACTTTTGAAAGTGTAAAAATCCCAGCAAATTAATTAAGTTTATTTTGTTTTCAATTAATTATCTCTACTTCACATTCATCCATTTTATGATTGAATACATTTTTAATACCTATTCTTTATCTATCCACATATATTTATTTACCATATTTATTTTTGCCATGTTTTTACCCTGAAGCGAACTCAATAATTCGGATAAGTTAATTATGTTAACTACTAATTAATTTGATCAGAAGTATTGCTTTGTATCTAGCAATTAAATGATAATACTTAACATTTTGGTTATATCATATATGAATTTAATAATTTATTTATGATTAACTGTTATTATTTCAATCATTTTCTTTATAACCGCAATATCATTCGTTAATAAGGTTTATTAATTAGATTAACTTTATTAAAACCATATTCCTAAATATTGTAATTACGAAGTCCATGCTTGTATTAGATAAACATGTGTACAATTTATCGATAGATGCAAACACAATTAAATACTCTTTTGTATACAATAATGTAATGATTACAAATTACTTTGGGACATATAATGTATTTATTTATTTATGTTGATCCGAGATAGAGCCTAGTTAGCCTAGGCTCTTGCTCGTGAGAACGAGAGTTTGAATCCCGGCCACCCGATTATTAAATGGTGACTGGTGTTTTTTAAATTAGTCACAAAGTTCTCCAAGTTCCCATTACAAATCAATACCTCTGGGGGAGGGGGGGTACTGGATCGGAGGTTGATCGTTCTCTGGTTCAGGTAAAAATTACGGACCGTGGATGAATGAATGGAATATAATTAGGTCTTCCCTGTAAAATGGACTGTGACTTGTGTGTGGCTAAAGTCGGTTTCTCGGTAATAGATGGCGCCACTGAAAGAAAAACAAGAGACGCACCCTCTGCTTTAAAAATTCACTTACTTTCAAGCAGATTTGCTAATTGGCAATTGGCATAAGTAACAACAACATTTATTTATGTTTGACTGAGTTTTTACTCATCACGTTAGGTGAACATCATTTCCTTGAAGTAGGAATGATGTGGATTAATTAAATTTACAAATTAATTTGGTTCAATATTTTAAATATGTTTACGTAACTAAAGTCGATAACTATTTGATTTTACAAGGAGTATAAATTTAAATTAAGTAACGAGAGTGATTTTTTTTAATTCGAAAAGAATTAAAATTTAAGATTATCTCCCTCGAAAAAATTCCCCATGAAAATGTACGGTCATAATTCTTCCACCTCTTCATAACAGCTCGGAAACTGGAATAGTTTTTATCTGGTCGGTAACAGCATTTTCACATAAATGACGTAAATTGCGATAAAATTTTTGTTCTCGGTGATAGGGATCTGTCAGGTGAGCCAAAAACACATTGACGCAGCTGGTGTGACAAACGCTTAGTCGCTCTTGATACCACATTCACAGAATTCTCCTCTTTCCTAGTTCAAATGCAATTCATTTATCAAAATCTGATGAACGATGATGTGATACAAATCAATCCTCCTGATCGTCAATCAATTATCTGAATACTCGATTTTTCGAATTCTGCCTCTTTCGCTGCATTATTCATCTTTTAACACTTCTCATAATTTTGAAAAATCTGCGCCATTGACAAAACACTGTATCTGCAAAAGTTTTACTTGCCCAACATCTGATAGCACTCCTCCATACTAATGTCGTTCATTTTTAAGACGCACCACAAAAATTGATTTCACAAGAAAGGATTTATCTATCAGACTTGTGTACCACCCATCCAAGTGTGTTTTGTTGCCAGTTTCATTACTCAATTTACACACCTCTTATTATCTATTCATTGTAGGTAACTAAATATTTATTTATTATTCACTGTCCGTCACATTAAGCAAATTACTGTCTCCAAAGCTAAGGAACTACAACTTTATTTTAAGTTAATTATTTCTACTGTTTTGATTTTATGTGTATAATTATTGAACATAAAATTTTGTACATATATGTATAGGTCATCTGTCTATGTATAGGTCATTGAACATCTATGTATGAGACGGTAAAATATTACGTAAGCATGTTTTTGGCACTTTTCGACTCTCCGTCTACCATTTTTAGCGAAAGTAAACCACAAGCGTCTATGCAAACGTAAGAAAGTTGCAACTCTCTCCTTTAGTTTTTGTTTAAATTTCGACTTCAAATATTAAGATTACATTCAAATAAGAGATGTAACTTTGTGTTTAACAAAAGTCACGTTTTAATTTATTTTATAAAATTTCGAGTAGAATTTTCCATAAGAATATTTCGCTTTCTTTCTGTGTCAAAATCTTTTGGCCTCTAAATTTCCAAGGATAAATTTTAGTTTAAATTTTCTATCCTGAAATTCAATTTTTTTAAATTCCGAATTTAAAATATTTCTATGAGTACTTTTTGCTATATATTTCCTTTGCTGTATAAGAAAATGTCGATGATAAAAGGTATTTTAATGTTTTTGCTTGAGCCCCCTTATTAGCAAAAATAAGCATATCACATTCAGTTAGCTTTTTAAGTAAAAAATAAGAATATCAGTCAGTTAGCTTTTTAAGCAAAAAATAAGAATATCAGTCAGTTAGCTTTTTAAGCAAAATATAAGAATATCAGTCAGTTAGCTTTTTAAGCAAAAATAAGAATATCACATTCAGTTCCCCTTGTGAACAAAAAAATAAGCATATCACTTTCAGTTCCTCTTGTGGGCAAAAATAAGTATATAACAAACATCCTTCCACACGTTAGGTGCTTACCTAATATTTTAACGGCCCCTATAATGATTGCATGCTTCATTTTTAGCATCTAATGTATTTATGTATAATTGTATTTGTTTTTATTTAAATAGTGGGACCAATATCTTTAGAAGTTGAAGGACCAACAACTCCCGTTGTTTCTGGAAATAGCGTGACTTTCATCTGTACCATAGAAGGTGCCAAACCATGGGCCAATGCTACCTGGTTCAATAGATCTGATGTTTTGAACATCGAACCTCGGACTCAAATCGACCTGAGAGAGGATGGAACTTTTACGACCATCAGTGCAGTTAACGTCATAGTCTCACGGCATGACCACCAGGGAACATTCTACTGCAAGGGTACTAATAACGCCATGCAAGCTAAAAATGAGGCACCCCTCCTTAAGTCCTTGGATATACAAGTTCTGTGTGAGTCAGATATTTTATGGACAATTTTGTATCCAGTTAAACATTTTATTATATTAATATTATTATTAAATATGTTGAGAATAAGGAGCTGATTTTTATCAGAAAATTTCATATTAACACTAAACATACCATAGCCGGTCAAATGAGCGTTTCAGAACTTTTGCATCGAAAATGCGTTTATCATCTTATCGTTTTTGCACATTTGACTTCATGATTTTTTCAAACAATAATATACAGTTAATATTCTTTTTTTTTGTATTTTGTTTGTTTTGAATAATACTTGTCGTATACCTATTTCTACCACGACCGGTCATTTGACCGGGAGAACAATTTAATTGCTTTATAAGGTAATCGGATCAAAAATGAAGATGTAATGCGTGTTCAACGTATTGCATTCGATGAGTTGCACATTTCTGCAAAAACTGTTGCGTAGTGAGTACAATCAGAATAACTGTGAATTCAAATTTCAAGAATGTACCTAAAAATTTTAGATAGGCGTTTTTGTGCAAGAAAAAGTGACAAAAACTAAATGTTTTGGTAAGTAACTTCTATTTTATGTTGATAGCTTTACTTCATTTCTAACTAACTGTTAGTTTTTACCCAGAGAAATTTCGAAACAATCAAGAGAACACAAGTTCTTAGATGAAATAATACTAATTTTAAGAATAATTTTAAAAATTATAAAAATCATAATAATTAGAAGAAATATGTTTGCGGAAAATGTACAATTGAAACAACCTGTATATGTTAAAAATGCGTTGAGCAATGAATTAAAAATTCTAATCCTTTGTGTTAAAATTAACACAAAGGATTAATTAAGGACTATTGAAGGATTTAGGATTATTGAAGGATTAATTAAGGATTAAGGACACAAAGGATATACATAAAAATAGGCAATATACAATTTTGTTTAATTGTAATAAAGTTGTTTTTAGTTTATTTCCTTCCTAACATCCATATTTCATACATTCAATCAAGAAACATAAAGTCCGGTAATTTGGCAGGCTATGGTAGAAGTAGGTATATATTGAGTGTTGGTATGTCAAGTGTTAATTAAGTAGAACCCCGATTAACCACGATTACAATCAGTCATTTTTTAGATTAAAGGATGTTTTTATTAAAAAAAGTGCCAGAATTTCTTTTATTATTTATGCTGTTTTTTTAATTTATTAGTTTTTATTATTCATTTAATTTTTTTTAGTTAAAAAGTTTTCTTTGATAAGAAAAAGATTGAATGAAAAGTTGAAACTTTTCTTTCAGTCATTTTCGTCTTAATTTTGGTGATACTGATGAAAAAAGTTTACCCTGAGCATTATAAACACTTGCACTTCGAAGTATATGAAAGCTTGTCGCACTGTTGTTGGCTGGCAATGAACGATTCCGTTCAAGTTAACCATAGTAATTTATATTCAAGTTCAAGACGTATTATTTTGAACGAAAATATGGTTCAATATATTAAGGTTGTTGTTAATATGAACAATGATGTGGTTCCATGAGCAATGGAAGCTAGAAAAGGAAGAACTTTTCATTCTATCTATTTTTCACTCACAATCTAGATCGCATTCTCAAACAGCGAAAATACGCCGAAGAGCCATTACATTATGACCACGGTCCATCTATAACAATGGGCTCACCCAGGTTTTCATGGTTTCTCGCCCAGGAACAATGTTTTCATGGGGCATATTAGGACCCATAATTCTCATATAACAATCCCTGACGTCTGTAAACTCCTTGAACATAGTTGCAGACCAGGTTCAACCATTCACGGCAACAGTTTTTAATGCGGGGGATGGTGTTTACCAACAGGATAATGCACCACGTCATAAGGGTCGAATCCTCATGGATTGGTTCGAAGAACATTCCAGTGACTTTCAAGTCATGCCTTAGCCCCCAAATTCACCTGACCTTAATCCAAATGAGCATTTGTGGTCCTACTTGGAAAACCAAATTCGTGCTGCCACGCTACCCCCTCGCAATGAGGGAATTGCAGGACCAGTTGGTGAGCGCTTGGTACCAGATACCCCAGACTACTTATCAGCACCTTGTGGAATCAATGCCACGGCGGGTGCTAGCAGTTTTGAGGGCTAAACGTGGTCCTACATGTTATTAGCAGGGTGGTCATAATGTAATGGGTCTCCGGTGTATATCATTTACAGTCCCTGGGCAAATAATTAGACGCACTATACCATTCTATGTAAAATATTAATTATCAGGTGATACTATACAGCTTTATTTTTTTATGGGGCTGAAACCAGTTTGCACTTGTTTACGTCCGTGTATCAGTTGATTAACATTGTAATGCAATACGTTAAAAATAAATACAAATGGAAAGTATATAAAAAATCTCCAGAATAATAACGCATTGCATGTATGTTTAAATATAAAAGTATCGCGTTTAAACTCGTGCAAAACATGTAATTATTAAACTGCAGTGCGTCTAATAATTTGGTCTAATTATTTCATTGTACTAATATAATACCTGATATAATAAATATTATATTTTTATATAATATATCGTCCAATTTATCCTACCATTGAATTTATATTATATGTAGTCTGATTTAACCCATTGGTACACGAACGTAAACAAGTGCAAACCGCGTAAAAACAATAAAGCTGTATAGTATCACCTGATAATTAAGATTTTACATAGAATCTTACAGTGCGTCTAATAATTTCGCCAGGAGCTGTATATTAGGCTCTATCAGAGATCTTAAACAGGTATCCAATCACAGTTGCAACCTATTTCAAAACAGACAATAATTCCACACATTTATAAAGCATAATTTCATTCACGATGTAACAACACACCATGAATCGTTCTTTGTTGAAAGCATATTAAATATATTATTTACATAACTTTAAACACACAAACGGGAGTGTGAATGCTTAATANTTAAGATTTTACATAGAATCGTACAGCGCGTCTAATAATTTCACCAGGAGCTGTATATTAGACTCCATCAGAGATATTAAACAGGTATCCAATCACAGTTGCAACCTATAGAACGAATTTCAAAACAGACAATAATTCCATACATTTATAAAGCATAATTTCATTCACGATGTAACAACACACCATGAATCGTTCTTTGTTGAAAGCATATTAAATATATTATTTACATAACTTTAAACACACAAACGGGAGTGTGAATGCTTAATATACGAAACGGTTTAGATTATTCTACAAGCGCGATCTTCTTAGAACACGCCATTGTTTATTGTCTGTATGGACGAGGCTCATTTATAATCATTGCTTACAAAAGCTGTCGACAAACTGATGCAAGCATTGAGCAAACATTTATCATTTGAAAAGCCTCCTGTGCACGAAACCGCGAGAGGTGTCACTTGGGTTGTTTAAATTGTATTCGGATAAATTCAGACGCAGAATGGAGATAGGTATTTGTCAAAAGCGAGCGCTTCATTTATTACCAGAGGTTTGCACAATCACACCTGAGAATGATGTTTTGGAAAGTGCGAAATTGACGTTACCTTAATGGCCTTTGCTATTGACGAGCAATAATCCCCCATTGCAACATAAAAGCACAACGCGTTTTCCAGAAGGTTGGGGTGTAAATACGGAGAATAGAACATCCTCAAAGGATGAATTACTCCATCCATTGAAACAATTTAGAACAAGACTGTAGAGATCGTTTGGAGAGTGAGAATTCATCTTGATTGGTGTAAATTCCAACTTTCACCCCGATTCGGAATGATCATATAAGAACATTTGTTCGGATTCTGAAATCAATTTTGAATGTGTTAGTTATTTCGAATATAATGATAATGAAAGATTTGGATCCAAGATTTGTTGGTCAATTTATAACCGATATGAACAATTAAGTGAGCAATCGCTATATTTGTAAGAATAAATAAATAATAAAGAACATGTAGCGTATTCAAGGATAACTAGAGAGTGCTATGAAAAAGTGTAAAGTATGTCTAGAAAAACAAATTTAAGGATGTATCGTAAGGCGTTGTGGAACGTAGCTTAGTTAGGATATACGAGCATTTAATTTTTTTCCTTCTAAATGTCGATTTCAGATTATTTAACAAAAGTGTGGAGTCAGAATAGCATATTAAAATAGGCTCATAATTCCTTGTTTTGATTCTTGGTGGAATTAAGTGTAATTAAATTACATGGGCTTTCTCATGCTATGAAATAGTTAACACCCATATTACTGAGATGTCCTGGTCATCAAATATCATTTGATGTACTCGTAATAATGACCTTTCATTATTTACATCTGAATGACCTTATACTCATTTGAGGTAAAAGTGATTGATTTCCTAATTTGATTCCCTGCGACCTTTTCAGAATTTTAATTTTTTATTTCTTCTTTACACCTTGTTTGAAGCAATTGTTGAAATACGTGTTATAGTAAGTTATTTACTTTATTGTTTCATGCAGTAGATTTGCATCTGGCTCAAACCCGTATTGACAAGATTAATAAAAAAGAACAATTTTTGCAATAAAATAGTTTAACATTACGGCAACATCCAACAATTATTTTCTTTTACAACTTTTTGGCATCACAGATGCAATACCCAGTCATCCTAAAATCAGACATTTAAAAAATATTTGATGTTTATTTTTATGGAATCCAATTAGTTAGAAATACTCATTATTACAGAACAATCCACAACGAAAGACATTTTTAACTTTTTTTAATGTCCTCTTGCATAAATTTAAAAATGCTCATTGTTACAGTCCATATTGAAAGACATTTATAACTTTTTAATGTCCTCTTGCAAAAATTAAAATAAAATGAGTGTTTATTGATTCATCAAGTGGATATTTCTTTCCGTTACCGAACACTTAAAATGTTACAGAACAGTCCGTATCGCAAGACATTTTTAATGTCCTCTTGCAAAAAGTTAGAAATGCTTACTGTTACAGAACAGTCCATATCGAAAGATATTTTTGACTTTTTAACGTCCTCTTGCAAAAAGTTATAAATGCTTACTGTTACAGAACAGTCCATATCGAAAGACATTAA